TTATTATTTTATTCGAAGTGACTAATAATTCGGAAGCAGAGGGTAAATCGTTGCGGCGCTTATTATTATTATTCGAGACTCATTTCCGATAGCATTTGACTATAAAATAAGAGGAAATACCTACGCTGGGGAAAACAACACTCGCGAATATAACATAAGGATTTTTTACCTGATAAGATTTGGTTGGAACTGATCAAATCTTCTGGTTGCAGTCTTACTTCCATTTCCCTTAATTTTGTGGACAATTCTCTGGTGTGTATGAAAAGGAATAGTGTAGTAGAAATGGCCATCAACGCAACTAATTCGCTTGTCCTGTAACAAGAGAAAACTGTATGATAATTTTAAATTTACAAAAAAAAAGAAAACTTAACTAAGCACCTTATAGATCGGAACTTGGCAATTAAGTTCAAATATCCGGTAAGACAAATAACACAACTGATGAAAATGCGTACTTTATGAAATAATGGTCATGAAGGAAAATACTTATTGCACAGTTTGATTTGCCTTGACTGAGTTACCGCGAAAATCATTTGTCGTAGTATTCACGGGAAGTGACCCCAGGCTACTTCCTCTTCCGAAAACATTAGGCGGAAGGACATTTTAGTGATGTAACAATATAAGAAGCACCGTTTATTGCATTCCGGTTAAGCAAAATGGATAATCATTATCTATCCGTACTTTTACATCACTAAAGACAGTACAACTGTAGGGATAGATAAACAGGGGCAAAAGATTAGTATGTTTAGATTTGCAGATGATATAGCAGTATTAGCATCTAGCAAGGAGGATATAGAAATAGCTTTAAATAAAATAGAAGAGGTGTTGATAATATACAGTACTGTTGTATGGAAATAAATAAAAGTAAAACAAAAAGACTGGTATGCAACGCAAGAAAACGTAGGGAAAGAGCGAATATAAAGATAGGAGACGAAAAATTAGAAAAAGTTGCTGATTTTTGGTATCTAGGAAGTCAGATAAGTCAGGACGGAAGGAGTAGTAGGGATATAAAGCATAGGATAACTCAGGGCTTCTTCAGGGCTGAAAAATGACTGTCAGTAAACACGAAGAAAGGATTAACAAAATATATGAGTCTTACTAAGATTATCGTATCACAAACTCAATTTTTGTAGGTGTCGCTTAATATTGTTAGTATATTGCATGTTTCACCCTTTGGCCTATAAATTTTCATTCCAGAATTGCTGTTATTCTGCAGTATTAACACCCTTATTATTCCCGCATTATTGTTCTGTTTTTCTTTGCTAAGATGATTCATCGAGAATATACGCTGCGATAGTTTGCCAAAGCAAAATAGATTACGGAATTTTAAAAAATTGATGGAAGTGATCTTACTGATGTACATGCACATGAAATTGAGGGTGTTCATCTTTTAAAAATCCAGCAGCACCAGCGTGAATTCAATTTAATTTCATTCATCTACAAAAAAGAACTTCTACACAAGAAGTATCACAAACGGTGTGGTGGTGATACTTCATAAAACTTTGTCTATACATAGTAGGTGGAGTCGATCTCTGTTTTGTCGAAATTCCAACCACTGTGAACCACTTTGTTTCAGGTAAGAATAGAAAACTAGAACTAAAAAAATATGAGAACATTGTAGAATTTGAACTCGCTTACTCTTGCGTGAAAAACCAAACAGATCTACGCTCTAGGTGTTGGTCTATTTTGAGAAATCGCAAGGAAATTACCAAACAGATCGCGCGGGAAAGTCAGTTATGTTACTTTAAGTATGAAAAAAAGGGAAAGCAATTTTTCCCGTAAACGAGACTTAGCTGGATCGATTACTTTCGCCACGATAAACTCCTTCGAAATTGTTGGACCTGTTAGCAAATAAACAAATATTGCTTGTATAGCAGGAAATGACAAAGGTATGTAAAAAGAAATCTGATTTATCAAGTTCTTTTATTTTCAATTTCACTTTCTTCGTATTTTTCAATTTTTATCTCACCTGCCTGTTTTTCAAGCTGAAGATCACACGATAATGATTAAAATTAATTGGCAATAAAATATAAACAACACAAGTACTAATTGTAAGATATAAATAAAGAGAAAGTATTGTTATTAAAATTATTTATGCCATCGTTATCATGTCGTGTGTATATTTATTACTCCTGTTTTAAACGAAAGTATATCATTGTAGACTTACTTACTCGTTTACCTCTTTTTCACATGCATCAACCGCAATTAACATTAATTACTGCGTGGATTAATGAGAATTGCTTCCATTTTACGGGGCATTTCGGTGATTTCACCTTGGCCATTAAACTTGCTAAACAAATATTCACTAGGGTGAAATACGCGACTCGAAGCAATTTAAACGCAACTCGAATTACATCTATTCATATCTACGTTCCAGTGAAACTGAGGCATTTTTCAGCACATAATGTGGATAACGGTCTAAAGTAATTAGTAAAAAAAAATATGAAATGTATTGTACTAAATACAGTTAATGTCTTTTAAATTGGCATAGGTATAAAGTTTTCATTATAGAAGTCCGAGATACAATAAGAAATAAGTAACGTTAGAATGGTGAAAGGGCTTTCATCTCGAGTGACCGCTTTTTATCTGTAGACCTCGTTATTTATGTATTTATACGCACATCATTTTTTACAGGATCCCTCTCTTGACATATACTATCTTCAATTAGACAACTTTCAATCGTTGTGATAGCAATGATCAGCGACTAACACCTATTATTATCAGCCAAGACGAATTCTACTTTTTCTAAAATTATCGACGGTAGAGATGGCTGAGAATTTCATGGATCTTGACCTTGGGCTGTCCACTGATAAAACCTCCGCAATTCAACGATTATTGATTTCTATCAATTTCCACCACATACCTAAATGCATTCGCCGTTATTGTTTATAATTCATCCCTTATTTTATAGCGAGGCGCATGCACGATTAACGACCGAGTTAATGTTTACGTAATGCACAATATTTATGAATTCGATAAGATCCACCTTCTGCACATGTGGAGACTCATGAAATTTTGAAATACCTATACCTATAATACCTAATAAATCGTCCTTCATAATGGATGACATGCATAAAATTTAATAGTTAATTAGTATGGCCTCGCACTCCATTCGAAGTATTTAAATGAGTATCTACATTCATTTCTTGAGAATTCACTCGTCCCATGAGTAAACCACTCAGATTTGTATGTGCTAAATTGGGAGAATCTTATCACACTGCTAAGTGTCTACATTCAAAATTAAGGAGTCTCGTTTAAAAGCAGACTCGAGCACATAAACAACCTCCTTTTGCTCAAAAAAAAAATTTTTTGGGCGTTTCATTCCCACCAGACACTAATGCTGGTGATAAATTAGTGAGCGGGCAGTCCGTCCGGACTACGCCGGAAGATAGGTCGGAAGGCCCATTTCAGCCTCCTTTCAGGAATCGTGGGAATGGGTGGGTGGTAGCTCAGATGAGATTGACGAAATGAAGACAGAAGAGAATGAAAGACTATCTGTGGAATATTGCAGCCCCAGCATTTGCCTAAGTGATCCACGGAAACCTCAGAGAAAAACATAGACTAAGCAGTAGCACTCTCGAATGCTAAGCGATTCACTAAACCTCTAGGCCGTGCCGTTCTGTCTACCTTTTGCGAGGTCTGGTTTTATAGCTGGTACGATATATTTTGAGTCAGATTTATTTTTTGTTTAGATTATACAGGAGTGGAACCTTCACCCCCTGAAGAGAGGTAGTGTCGGATTTATACCGACTAAAACCCCTCCTCAAGGGGAGATAAACCCTGAGGATTGCTCATCCCCGGGAAGAAATGGAAGGTTGGGATTGGGGAGAGGATTGAGATGGGAAGAGGGTTGAGTGTGAGGAGGAGAAGGTAGGATTGAGGAGGAAAACCGAAGTAGGTGGTCCACCTCTGAAGTTATGGTTCGAAACTCGCGCTAAAAAGCAAAGTTTTTTGGGGCAGAATTCCTAATAAATTAATATAGTTGGGGTGTTCAAAACTGTCATAGTCCGCAATAAAATTGTCGCATTTATTCACTCCTTCCAACTTCTTAACTAGACTAAAGTGGTTGCTAACAGAACGCCTTCTTTTGGTAACGACAGACGTTGCAAGGAATATCGTAAACATAGAAAAGAGATGTCAGGTACACCGAGCGGCATGACCTAGAGGTCTAGACCATTGCTTAGCATTCGGGAGGACGCCGGTTCGATTCCGGGTCCGTCTGCCTTGATCCAAGTTTTTCTGTGGTTTCCTTGGATCACTTAGGCAAATGCTGAGGCAGTAATATTCCACAGATAATCTTTCATTCTCTTCTGTCTTCATTTCGTCCGTCTCATCTTTCTCACCCGAACCACCACCCACCCATTCCCACGATTCCTGAAAGCAGGCTGAAGAGGGCCTTCCGCCCTACCTTCCGGCGTAGTCCGGAGGGACTGCCTGCTTATTCGCATTAGTGGCTGGTGGGAATGAAACACCCAAAAGTTAAGTTAGTTAATGTCAGGTAGGAATTGCAGCGGGCACTAATAAAGATAAACGAATAGCATTACACCAATTGATGTGTAACCAGAAAGAGATATAGACACCATGGACCAGGGTTCAATTTCCGGCAAGAGAGTGACAACAGTAACAATTTTTCTTATTAATTTGAAGTTATGTGTAGTGAATAAAATTAATTTACATTGAATTAACGCTACAAAAATTATTAAAATGTATATCATTAGTCTATTGCAATTAACACTAACACTAGCCAAGTCTTTAATAAAATATCATACTTTTGTACACAATAGCAGAAATCATAGGAAGTTTTAATTACTTGTCACCAATTAAGAATTTCTAATTGTTTTCTTTACTTATTAATAACTGTTTTGTTAGTTTTATCCATGATAAAAAAATGGCGTACATGATTTACTTTTACGTTTTTGGTTTGCACGAGTACGTTTGAATGTATACATAGGTATATATACAGAAAATAAATCAAATCAATCAGTTTCAGCAATTAATAGATAACGACTACAGCAATAGTAAAGTGACAAATAAATTGGTGACTATGAGCAATGGGTTTTCTTAATTTTTTTTTTATAGAAGCTATAATTTTATTTCTGGCAAAAGCAATTCCTTAAGCTGTTAATCATTTTGTGTTGCGACAGGTTCAATTAATGTACCTACACGATATAATACAAAAATTGCCATGAAGACTTTAATGCATTCGATAGTTCCTTGGCATGCCGTACTTGTCGGTGTGATACTGGTTTTCGAAGTCCTACAGTCAGCCGCCTTCACTTTGACGTAAACGGACTTTCCAAAACGGAACGAGGTTG